GCCACCCAGGCACCCTGAAATGAGAGGTTTTAATGGAAATAACGAGTTTGGAAATTGCACCTACCATGATCCAATGCTAAAACTAATTGTTTTCTCATGTTATTTTAGTGATACTGGATTTCTCGTTTTTTTTTTTTTTTTTTTTAGATTTTATTCATTTATTTGTCAGAGAGAGAGGGAGAGAGAGCGAGCACAGGCAGACAGAATGGCAGGCAGAGGCAGAGGGAGAAGCAGGCTCCCTGCCGAGCAAGGAGCCCGATGTGGGACTCGATCCCAGGATGCTGGGATCATGACCTGAGCCGAAGGCAGCTACTTAACCAACTGAGCCACCCAGGCGTCCCTGGATTTCTCATTTTTAAGAGATGGTCCCTGTCTCCCTTTAAAACAGGGAAAATGGGGCGCCTGGGTGGCTCAGTGGGTTAAGCCGCTGCCTTCAGCTCGGGTCGTGATCTCAGGGTCCTGGGATCGAGTCCCGCATCGGGCTCTCTGCTCGGCAGGGAACCTGCTTCCCTTCCTCTCTCTCTGCCTACCTCTCTGCCTACTTGTGATCTCTGTCTGTCAAATAAATAAATAAAATCTTTAAAAAAAAAAAAAAACAGGGAAAATGTAGTCATGGGTGGAGGGAGGGAGGTGAGAATAGCTCCGGGTAGGTAGTAAGTGTCAGTATTGAGGCTTAGAATAACAAAGGGCGGGAGGTAGGTGACAAAAAGAAATGCTTACTTCCAAGAGAAGAGATGAGTACACATAAGGATAAAAACAGCCTCAGTGTTTTATAGAGGAAGGCAGAGATAAATCACAGTGTGTCTGCCCAGTGGACCAGGCTGCTGTTAAAATGATTAGAAATGAAGACCTTTGTAGCAAAACAATATTTAATAAAAAGTTAAGTGAAAAAAACATTATATATTTTTGCCTGCCTTATGTACGTAATTACATAGAAGCATATATACATTTGGAGAGAAATATAGCAAGATGAGAATTGTGGGAATGTGCATTTTTTTGCAATTTTATTACAAATATTGTGCTGCAAAAATAAGGAGAAATGCAAAGAATGTGTTCAACTCAAGAAAAAAAAACAAAATGAAACAAGAAAGGAGGGAAAGAGAGCCAACCTTTCTTCCGTGCAGTTATTTACCAAGTCATGGAATTTTTGAGCTGGGAATTCTATCTCAGCTATTTTCAAACTTTTTAGTCTCAGAGCCTCTTTACAATAAAAATTATTGAGGACCCTAGAGAGCTTTTGCTTATGTGGGTTATACCTATTGGTATTTCCATACAAGAAATTAAATTTGAGAAATTAAAGATATGTATTGTCATTTAAAAATAATGATAGGGGACGCCTGGGTGGCTCTGTTGGTTGAGCCGCGCTGCCTTCAGCTCAGGTCACGATCCCAGGGTCCTGGGATCGAGTCCCGCATCAGGCTCCTTGCTCAGTGGGGAGCCTGCTTCTCTCTCTGCCTCTGCCTCTGCCTGCTTGTGTTCTCCCATGCGTGCTCTCTCTCTCTCTCTCTCTCTCTCTCTCACAAATAAATAAATAAATAAAATCTTAAAAAAAATAAAATAAAAAATTTAAAAAAAATAATGATAGGAGGGGCGCCTGGGTGCCTCAGTGGATTGGGCCGCTGCCTTCGGCTCGGGTCATGATCTTGGTGTCCTGGGATCGAGCCCCGCATCGGGCTCTCTGCTCAGCAGGGAGCCTGCTTCCCCCTCTCTCTCTGCCTGACTCTCTGCCTACTTGTGATCTCTCTCTCTCTGTCAAATAAATAAATAAAATCTTTAAAAAAAAATAATGATAGGATGCTTGGGGGCTCAGTTGGTTGGGCATCCAACTCTTGATCTCAGCTCAGGTCTCGATCTCATGGTCGTGAGTTTAAGCCCTGTGTTGGACTCCACGCTGTGTGGAGCCTACGTGAAAAAAAAAAAACAATGATAAACTCATTACATCTTAAATAATATATTTTTATGAAAAGTCACTATATATTCCAAAACAAAAATATTTAGCAAGTATGCCATGGTTTTACATTTTTGCAAATTGCTTTAATGTTTGGCTCCATTGAAGACAGCTGGGTTCTCCTATCTGCCTCTCCATTGATTCCATTGTGATATGTTGTTTTGGTTAAAATATAGAAAGAAATCTGGCCTCACAAAGGGAGGAATGCTTTAGTAGTTTTTTCGGATGATTGTGGAAATGCCACCTTGCTTCTGACACACCCCACCGTATGAGAGATTAAGACTGAAAAGGACAAATAATGTCTGAGAATTTTTATGAAAACAGTTCTCGCCTCATGGACTCCTTGAAAATGTTTTAGGGACCCACAGGGCAGCTTTTGACCACACTTTGAGAACCACTGCTCTACCCTTCCAGAGGTAAGAAAACTGAAACCAGAATGTCAAATGATTTCCCCCAAATTACATGGTTTATGGAAGACGGAGTTCTGGGACACAGTTTTTCTGGTTTCATTCCTCATGCTTTTGGAGGACTTCAAATTACAAAATGACCTTAGGACAACTTCTGTAAACTGACCCTGAGTGTTTTTATCAAGGGCTTCTGACATATCAGATGTAATTGTTCCTTTTCATCTTGAAGATTAAAAAAGAAAGTATGATTTAGGCGAATCAAAGCTTTTTAAGAAGAAAAGTTGCATGAGGATTGCAGGTAGACTTGTAGAAATGCAATTTTTAATATTAGATAAAAAATATATGGAAATATTAATTTAAACATACATTTAGTTTTGGTTACTACCTCTTGCGAGCTGAAAGACTTCGTAGCATCTTCTTTCTCCGTAATTCTATGTAGACACTTTTTATTTGTTTTGCTTTGTTGCAGTTGTCTGCATCGCCATAATTAGAGGCATTTTCCATATCTGTCCCTCCGTTTAAATGTTCGGTGACTTCTGGTTTTATTTTAAATGTTGTCCATTTGTTCCTCTGAAGTTCCACTGAGGTCTCAGAAACGTCAGTGACTTGGATGCCGGAGATGGAAAATACTTCGGAAAACTTTATTTAGCCTTCTCGAGTAGGTATTTTTCAAACCTCACTGCCAGAGCACAGCTTTCTGTCAAGGGCCTTCGGATGGTAACTTCCTACTGTTATCACCCTCAGTCAGCCCTCGTGCTTGCCCCTTCCCTCCCCCTGTTCAGTGTTGGGCTCCAATCTCTGTCCTCGATCGGAGGCTTTCCTTCGTATTTCTGCATCTTTTTCAAGGTTTTATTGCAAAAGCCTCTTTCTTGCTTTGCTGTCTACTTTATCTTCCCTTTTCTGTTCCCTATTTACCAATTTCTTTTTTTTTTTTTAAAGATTTTCATTAATAAGAATGATCTCCTTACATACAATGGAGTCAAGAGTCACATAGTTGCCAGAAAGATACACAGAAGTCAGTCTGTAGTCTGTATGATGGGAACCATCGTTGGAGAAGTATCATGATGGCAGATGCTGGGGGAAGCCACCTTCCTGACTTATCACCGCAGTGCCTTCCCTCTTTGCTCTGTTCCTGGTGAATAGATTAGTGGTAAAAATCACTTATCTTGTCATATGCCGGCAAAATCTTTTGGTCAGCTCTAACCACTTTTATCTTTTCTCCCTCCCCCATATAAAGTAGTTTAAAGTTTTATGGGGAAGCACCTCATTTTGTATATCCTGTTACCACTTCAAGAAAAGCAGTGGAACTGAGAATACACTTTTTGGGAGAGACTAAGATGAAATTCTGGGTGCCTTTTGGTGTCCACTTGCCCCTAGTCCTCAGTCCCTCCCCCTGCCTTGGAATGGTGGGAACAGGACTTGGAAAAGTCCTACGTACTTATTGGTCCTGTATTTCCTACTCTCCCATGTCTTCCCTTTTGTCTCTGCCCTTCTTTTGGAATGAAGTTTGAAGTGGGGTGGCCGAGGTGGCCGAGGTGGCCAAGTTGCAATGACAGAACTCTCAGATGTAGTTGTAAGGTGCTCCCTTTTCCTCCTTTTTCCTTTCCGTTTGGAGCTGCAAAGGTGTTTTGTGGGTTAGAGGAAATAAAAAGAAAATTCATCAATTTGAAAATTCTTGAGAATCTCTTCTATCTACATCACATGACTATTTTTTCTAGCTGGTATAATGGGGTAGTGATAGACATTGGATGTTCAGACTCTACTTTCATCCTTGTAACTGTCTTTGTGACTGGGTCAAATTACTTCACTACTCTGCACTTTAGTTTTCTTTCTGTAAATGAGAAAGTTGTTAAGTGATGTTTAACAGTGTTTGCTCCCCACGTTAGTATTTATTCAACGATTACTTATCAAGTACCTGTTGTGTGCCTGACACTGTTACGAAATGCTGGAAATACAGTAAACAACAAATGGAGTAGTTCCTGCTCTTGCTGATGTTTTATAATGGGGTGTGGGATGTCTGTCTCCCCATCGGTAATAGAAATAGTAATTTGAAGGACAGCTGAGTTCCAGTCCTTGCTTTGTGTCTGATTTGGGTAGGACCTTCCAGGTTATTTATCCCCCGCTCCAAGATTTATTTATTTACTTGAGAGAGAAAGAGAAACAGATTACAAGCAGGAAAGGGGCAGAGGGAGAGGGGGAGAGAGAATCCCAAGCAGACTCCCCGATGAGTGCGGAGCCCGATGTGAAACTCAATTCCACAACCCTGAGATCTTGACCTGAACTGAAATGAGGAGTCAGACGCTCAACCAACTGAGCCGCTCAGGTGCCCCAGGACCTTCAGAAGTCATTTTAAATGCTCTGTTCCTTTATTTTCTCATCTGTGATGGAGATAGTGATACCTAAACTATTTACCTTAAACAGTTGTTTTAAGACTCAAATTAATGTATGCGGAAGTGCATTTGAATACAATAGTAACGTATAGTGTGTTTCAGTTTTATCATAATGAAAAATATTACTGTATTTTGCTGTAGAATTTCACATGGAATTCATTACAACTTGGTTGAGTGAATTCTAGATTAACTTAATTTTGGAATTCAGAAATACTAGAAGAATATAAGGTATGTTTGTTTTTCTTCTCTTCACAGAAGAAGATAATGCTAAATATGTTTTTAGACACAATGATGGCCGATCCTCCTCCCCAGTGCCTTGTCTGGTTACCTCTCATGCACAGGCTCGCCCATGTTGAGAATGGTAAGCAGAACTTGGATCATTCAGTCTCTTGTGCTACAGGAAATACAGGAACTGATGGTATTTGTAATGTCCTTAGCTATTACCATTGAAAATTAAAATTGATATTTGCTGTCACCGTGTCCTTTGAATTTGTGATTTTTGCTTTTAAAAGAGGGATTTTTGAAAAACTGTATTTATTTATTTGAGATAGCATGAGAGAGAGAGCAAGAGAGCTCAAGCAGTGGGGGAAGGGGAGAGGGTGAGGGAGAAACAGATTCTCCGCTGAGCAGGGAGCCCGATGCGGGACTCAATCCCAGGACCCTGATATCATGACCGGAGCTAAAGGCAGAGGCTTAACCTGCTGATCCACCCAGGCGTCCTTCGAAGGAGGAATATTTATTTCTCAAGGAAAAGTAGGGGAAGGGGGCTTATTACTTAGGATACCAAGAAATAGTAATATCAGGTCATAAAACTTTGTGGTTCAAATTCTGGGTTTTCCCCCACTGACAATCACTTGAACCCATCTGATTTAGACTTGACTTCCTTTTTTACCTTTAATTTATACAGTTATAAAAAAATTAGATGTATGCAGTATCAAGCACTAACAGTATAATGATTTTGGAACAGTTTAAAGGAAAATAGCTGTGATAGAATTTGGTACTTCACACATCTTCACTTTCTGCCTTTACTATTTTATCTTGAATTACTCTTGGTACCTTTTTGAGGAATTTGACTTAAATATTTGTCTTGGTTAGAATTGAAATGGTAGTTTTACCTCCAGTAACTTAATTTTTTCTTCTGTTGTTATCAGTTTATCTCCTTGTTTAGGTTGTATGAGTTTGTTAAAGGAAGGGCTATAGTTTCTTTCCTTTTTTTTCTTTTAAGATTTTATTTATTTATTTGACAGAGATCACAAGTATGGGGGAAAGGCAGGCAGAGATAGAGGAGGAAGTAGGCTCCCTGCTGAGCAGAGAGCCCAATGTGGGCCTCGATCCCAGGACCCTGGGATCATGACCTGAGCCGAAGGCAGAGATTTTAACCCACTGAGCCACCCAGGCACCCCAGGGCTATTGTTTCTTATATAACCTCCCTCCCTCCTCTCAAGGCTCTTGCCTGTTTCTTATTCTGCCAAAGAGAACCAGTAAATCTGAGAAGCATGAAAAGGCAGAGCTCCCTTTTTCCCTTTGTAAGAATGAAATGCACATCCATACTCTGTCTTCTCCCTTCTCATCTGTACCTTTTGTTTTTAAACCTCTCAGCCTTTTGCGCCACTGTGGCTTTAGTTCACGGGAACCTTAGATTCAGGATTACTTTCTTAAAGGTTTAGAATCTCTTGACTAAAACAGCTAAATTTTTTTTTAAAGATTTTATTTATTTATTTGACAGAGAGAGACACAGTGAGAGGAACACAAGCAGGGGGAGTGGGAGAGGGAGAAGCAGGCTTCCCACTGAGCAGGGAGTGTGATGTGGGGCTCGATCCCAGGGCCCTGGGGTTATGACCTGGCTGAAGGGAGACACTTAACAACTAAGCCACCCGGGTGCCCCAAAAAACAGCTAATTTTTTTAACAGGATTTTCAGATAGAGATTTATACTGTTAAATTATTATATTATTGAATATTATTAGTTCTTTTGGAGGCAATACTTTCAAAGCCTGAAGTGTGTCATATTCAGTTTGTTTTCATAAAATCATTTTGCAGTCAAATGCTCTACCACTGAGCTATATCCCCTTCATAAAATCATTTTGTATCTACTATACATCCATATACTATGGATATACTATCCATAAGGAAAGAATCTCATTTGTCCTGATTTTTGTTATCCATATGAACATTTTATTGTGATTTTGTATATAGTGTATTATTTGTTGATTACATTCTTATGAGGTTAGTGATTTTTTTCTTAGGGACAGAGAAATAGTATGATCTCATTGACATATCTTGAAGATAAAACATGTTATTTATCACAATAACATTTATCTATATATCTTAATTTTTATGGTGAGGAAATCATAACATTATGGTATTTCTGTATTTCTATATGGTATTTCTGTTGTTGTAGTTTGGGCCCTTTCTACGAAATTCATCACTTGAATTATATAGAAATTACTATTTATAAGGACAGATATCTATTTACTTACATAAAAGTTATACTTTTTGTATTGTTTTACTAATCCAAGTATATTGTGTGTAAGATTACAACGTGATGTATTCTTCCAAAAAAGAATGCTTTTACCAAAACCTGATCTTTTTTTTTTTTTTTAAAGATTTTATTTATTCATTTATTCGTCAGAGAGAGAGAGAGAGAGAGAGGGAGAACACAAGCAGGCAGAGTGGCAGGCAGAGGCAGAGAGAGAAGCAGGCTCCCCACCGAGCAAGGAGCCCGATGCGGGACTCGATCCCAGAACCCTGGGATCACGACCTGAGCCGAAGGCAGCGGCTTAACCAACTGAGCCACCCAGGCGTCCCCCAAAACCTGATCTTAATGATTGACTCAGTACACTTGTTGATTCTCTCCACATTCTGGTTCTCTAATCTGTGGCTGGTGTAAAAGAGGAGAGAAATACACAGATATTCATGTTCAACCAAGATGATCAGAATATACTTGATAATTTAATACTAATGTACATACCAAAATAATTGTACAGAATTATAAATACCGGTATGCTGTTGTCACCTGTGTTGATGTGACCTCCAGACTGATTTGGGAGTAGTGTTCTTTGGCGGACCTTTACTAGATTATGTAGCTTTATTTATTTTTTTAATTTTTAAATTTTTTAAAAAGATTTTTTTCAGTTGAGAGAGAAAGAGAGCAAGCACAAAAAGGGCGATGGTCTGAGAGAGAAGCAGACTCCCCACTGAGCAGGGAGCCTGATGCGGGATTCAATCCCAGGACCCTGAGATCATGACCTGAACCGAAGGCAGACACTTAACCAACTGAGCCACCCAGGTGGCCCTAGATTGTATAGTTTTAATTTGGAGCACAGATTTCTTTTTAAAGATTTTATTTATTTATTAGAGAGTGAGTGAAAGAGAGAGCCCATGAGCAGGGGCAGAGAGAGAGGGAGAAGCAGGCTCCCTGCTGAGTAGAGACCCCCCCCCAACATGGGGCTTGATCCCAGGGCCCCAAGATCATAGCCTGAGCAGAAGGCAGACGCTTAACTGACTGAGCCACCTAGGCGCCCCTGGAAAATAAAGTTTAGACTTGAGAAGGCTTCTTTTTCTTCTTTCCATATGTATTTATCATCTACGATCTTTATCATACATTTATCATTCTAGTAAACACGAGTTTCATTTTAAAAAAAGAAATTGGTTATTTTCTCAGGTGGATTGGAATGTAACATTCTAACTTGAAAACCTGTTCTCATCTCTTATCTTCCCCTTTTATTCTAGTAAATGGCTGGTTCTTTAACTGGGAGACAATTTAGGAGTTTTCGGTTCTAATATTGTTTTCACCTTTGCTTGTTTCCATGAGGTTTGGTTTTCCCCCATATGGACCTTCTTTCTCCAAATGAAAATGGCTTCTTTCTGTTTCCTGCCCCCCTCTCTGCCTTCCGCAGTCTTCCACCCCGTGGAGTGCTCCTACTGCCGCTGCGAGAGCATGATGGGCTTCCGGTACCGATGCCAGCAGTGCCACAACTACCAGCTCTGCCAGAACTGCTTCTGGCGCGGCCATGCCAGCGGCCCTCACAGCAACCAACACCAGATGAAGGAGCACTCGTCTTGGGTAATTGCTCTGTTTCTGTGTCCTCTGCCCTTACCCTGTCTCTGTGGTGACAGTGCCGGCTGCCTCCTACTGGAGGCCTCACCAGCGAGGCCGCGGGGTAGCCCAGTCTTCGCGCTCACAGTTCTGACCGCAGATACATTGTGCTTCGTCACCTGGCTTTATTTGTTTGTTTGTTTTTACCACTTGATTTTAAAAGGAGAATTTTTAAAGTCCCAAGAGATGGAGATACGATTACAATTTGAAATGGAAAAGTAAGTGAGAAGGGTCTTCTTATTTTAAAGCTGTGCAAGCGGTATCCCCTCAAAGCTTACTCTCTGAACTTTTATTAAGATTTAAAGTTCTTTTTCTCAAGCATATTTCGTACGTGTCTCTAGGTTTTAAATGTTGCAGAGAAAACTGCGTGAACTGAAGGAGTTACATTTTTATCTCTCTGAAGTTGGGGAAATATTGTATCTTACAGGACGGACATTGGTGACCGTCCTTCCTTCCTTCCTAGATTTTATTTATTTGATGGAGAGAGCCCCAGGGAGAGAGAGAACACAAGCAGGGGAGTGGGAGAGGGAGAAGCAGGCTTCCAGTCGAGCAGGGAGACCGACGCAGGGCTCAGTCCCAGGACCCTGGGATCATGATCTGAACCGAAGGCAGGTGCTTAACCCACTGAGCAGCCAGGCGCCCTGGTGTCCTTACTTTCAAAAGCAGTCCTGTAAATAACAATATTTGGGTGGAGGATGTGTGATTTTCCTCTGGTGTTTATAAATCACCTAACAAGCTGAGCATCAATCATTTTTCTTCCCTTTTCTCAATTTATTTTCAGAATTTTTAAAATGTCATCCATTTATTTCCAAAAACTCATTTAAAAACTTTTCCCTCTAGTTTTTGTTGGTTGGTTGGTTTGTTGGTTGGTTTGCTAAAGGATAGAACAATATATAGTGTCACAGGTATAATTTAGGATTTAGGTTCTTACCCTGGGTCATCCTACTGGACTTTAAGTGTTAGCTTCAGTTATCAGGGGGTTTTTTTCTTTCTTTTTTCTTCTAGTTAGCCTTCTTAAAACTTAATCAAGAAAAAAGCCAAGTAAGCTCATATTAAGGATTGGTTTTAAAAAAAAAACACACACACACACAACAAATTTCAACCCATGTGTATGCTTTACTTCTTACATCTCTGACACGTTAGAGAAATTTTTTTTTTAATCAGTTAGGTTTTCAGTTACACTTAACCATAAAATTTCGTTAAACTTGAACATCCTCTCCTGGGTTTTGTTGTGTTGGAAATTCCAGTATTTTTTTGGTTGAGGAGTGATTATTTAAAATTTTTAAACAAGCAATGGAAAAAAATTACAATGTAGTAGGTTCTTCTTTCACTGAATAAAGATAATCTCTAACAGAGATTTCACTGAGTAGAAATAATTCAAGTTGTTATTTTTCCCTTTCTTAAAGTACGGGTGTCCCACTTAATTGATTTATTAATGTTTTTCTCACTGTTTTTTGTTTAGAGTCTAATTCTCAACACTGAGATAGCTCTTTGCTCTGTTACCATTATAATGATTGGATTCATTGGCATGTTTCTTCTGACAGTTCTCATGCTAGATGTTAAGGGAATAGAGTGAAGAACTTCTTTTTCATCATAGATAAAACTTGCTCATTTAGTTAATTTGTAGCCTTTTTAGAAAAGGGGATTTTACTTTTTTTTAAAAAGATAAGTGGCTGAATATTGCTTTATGATTTAAAAACCAGCATTTCGGGACGCCTGGGTGGCTCAGTTGGTTAAGCAGCTGCCTTCGGCTCAGGTCATGATCCCAGCGTCCTGGGATCGAGTCCCACATCGGGCTCCTTGCTCAGCGGGAGCCTGCTTCTCCCTCTGCCTCTGCCTGCCATTCTGTCTGCCTGTGCTTGCTCTCTCTCCCTCTCTCTCTGACAAATTAAAAAAAAAAAAAATCTTAAAAACCAACATTTCATATGCTCTTGAATTTTGGCATTGAGTTAAAAAAACATACATCAATGAAAGTACAGAAATCACAAGTGAATTCTTCTACTTCTGCTTGATCCTCACAACACTCTTGTAAAGTAAGCCATGTCTCCATTTGTTGTTATTTTTATTTCAACTTTGTTGTTGTTTTTAAAATTTCATTGATTTTTGTTATAGTGACTGAAGATTTCAAGAAAAATCAAGTACTATAGGCATGAAGCTGGTATCAGTTCTGAATTTTAAAGAGTATATGCATTACGTATGACCGATGCATACTGGTGAGGTTTTTTTTTAGCAGTGTGTGTGTGTGTTTGTGTGTAACTTGTTTCCAAGGTTAGAACTATATGTGTAGTGCCCTTGTTCTTTGAGGAAGATGTGAGTGAATTTTGGGACTGATGTGGGTAAAGAAGTTTCCACTAACAAAGTAGGTGTAATCACTTTAATAGTAATTTCCTTGAAGATTGTCCATTGTGTTTATAATTTATATATATACATATATAAAATTTATAATTTATCTCATAAGAGATAAATTTAGTGTGCATTTAACAAGTTTGTATATGAATTTGTATCGTAGATTTGATAGGTGTTCTATTGGTGCTTGGGATTTTACTTTAATTTTTTCCAAAAGTTTCTGTTTAATGTTTTACCTAAGTAACTATGCAGTGCAATTCATTTATCCTTTTAGTCATCAATCCATTCATTTGACTTTATCTTAGAAAAAAAAATGCTATATAGTATCATATGTGATTCATTCTGTGCATTCATTATTCATTCAAAAGATATTGAGCTTCTACTGTGTGTGCCAGGTGCCGTTACAGGCATTTAGGATACATCTATGAGCAAACCAGACGGATTCCTGCCCTTGTGGGACTTAAATTTTAAGGGATATAAAAGGCCATTACGGCTCACTGGCATTGCTGTTTTCCTGTTTTTGCTGGGCATACATCTAGACCACATTTCTCAGCCTCCCTGTATGTGCGAAGGACCATATAAATAGCACTTTTTAGTGGAATGTGATCAGAGTGATATGCGTCTTCCCAGAATAAGACTGTTGATAGCTGAGTGCCTCTTCTGTTCTCTCTGCCAGCTTAGTGGAGAGAATTTCATTAGGACCCAGAGGAGGGTAAAACCACAAATGAAAAGAAATCAGGTCCTTGAATGATGGGTGGAGAGGAGTGTGCTGCCACCGTACTTGACTGGTGGAAGCAAGAGAGAAACTTTGTGTTAAGCTACTGAGGGTTTAGTTTTTGCTATAGTAGTTGGTACTGGAAGTAGAGTTCTGTTAAAGCAAAACCTTGAAATCTGTGTCATTGGCTTAGCAGCCAAATAGCCCTGATGAGGACACTGATATTAGAGTTGGGAAGGACAGAAACCCATGCAATGGTGACCAAATGGGTACATTTGTCATTATCCATGGTAACTTAGAAGGCACACTTCATGCCACTTGAGCTCCAGGTCAAAGGTTGGAAAGGATTGGAGTGTGTGTGTGTTGACTGTTTTTGGTTAAATATGACAAGGAAGAGATGAGCTTAGGAAAGAATTAGCAAGTTTTCAAGCAAAAAATGGAAGGGACTAGAGAAAGTTCTGACAGTTGGAGCAGTGACAGGAAAAACAGATTGCTTATAGACCCCGGAGAGAGCAGTAGGTAAGAGTGAGAAAGGCTTTGGGCAATAAAGGCATAGAGAACTTTCTCAGTCAAAGAAAGGTGACTTAGTCCTAGAGCGAAGATCAGATTAGGGCACGAGTTCTTGTTCTTGGCTGTTCATCAGAATCCCCTTGCTCTCACCTACATAGCTTCCGATTTAATGGGTCAAAGGTACATGAAACCTAGATAAGGCAGTTTTTAAAAGTTCCCCCAAGTGATTCTTTTATGCAGCCAAAGTTGGGAACTGCTGACCTCTTATTTCATATGGCCTCCAGGTGGCCTCTGTTAGTTCAAAGCAAGAGGAATGGAGGCAAAGACATAAATCAGGATTGAGAATTAGGTCTAGGAAAGGACTTCGTGTGTGGTTACTGGCACATGGAACTGACTGCAAACAAATAGATCAAAGGCCTACTAAGTTTTTGAGGGAATTGTATGTTGGCAAAGGAACCATGAGCCTGAACTTAACAAGCCCTTGACTATTGGAGCTGTTAAACAACTTTTTAAGGACCCAGAGCTTGCTCTGGGAAGAGGTGGGGTTGTGAAGGTGATACAGCCCCGCCGAAGGCATGCCAGAGCCCACTTTGCCGAGGAGTACATTGGATAAGGAAGAACCTCCTGCTCATGTTCCTTTATCGTGTAGTGGAATGGGGATGCTGGGTGCAGATAATCTGTTCCTGGTTAACATCGTAAGGAGCTACACATGATCTTGTTAAAGAAGACTGTGATGTACCTAGAGGCCCTGGACTTGTCTTTAGATGCACTGACTGAACGGGACCTCAGGTTTTCTCTTGGGAGAGGCCTGAGTGTGTTTTATGTGTAGGAAGAGGGAGGAAAAATGTATTTTGTGATTAGAATTACCTACCAATACCCATGTGTTCCTTCTCTTCCTAGACCTGCACGTAGGTGATACAGCCCATCCTCCTTGTCCCCAGATGGAGCCCTATGACTAGGTCTCACCAAATACAGAACCGTATTTGCAAGTGACCTGTGTTACTTCTTGGTCAAGGCTGTTTTAAGCAGGTGTGTCCTCTCATCCTCTCTTTACCCTTCTTACTCCCAGTAGACACTGGTCACATGGAAGGATCTCCAAAGAAACTGGTAGAGGCAGAAGTCCTTAGATGAAAGGGGGCTGGTAGATGGATCAGAGCTCCTCGGCCGATTTACACTGGACTCACATGAGCAAGAAATCAGAAAGCAGAATCCAGAGTATGGGGTCATGGGGTCATGGAGGTTGTATTGAGAAAGTGAGATTTAAGCAGTGTTTTCAGTGTCTGCTAGCAGACATCTGGGGAGGAGGAGGCATTTTCAGCATGAGGCCTGAGAACAGGAGTGTGCTTCTGAGTTCAGGGAACAGCAAAGAAGCCTGTGTGCCCAGAGTGGAGTGAAC